TTTGAATAAAATTTTCATTTAATATCAAGTGTTTCAACGTAGGTTTTTGAAGTTTCATTAGAACACTAGTCGACCAGGTAGATGTTCGACCGGTCAACCGGCCAATGTAAGCCTGCGTTTGGTTGTATTTTGTAATTATGATTTGAGAGTATGAGTTGTATTTTGAGTTTGTGTGGTTTGGAATTATGATTTGAGTATAGAAAATTTGTTTGGTAAAGAGTTTTGAAAATAGTTTTGAGAAGAGTTTTGATTTGAGTAGGGAATTGTTGATGTGACATTTGATATTTGATACAAAAATTTACAACTCATAACTAAATATATAACTCAAAATTATTTTAAAGCACATAAAAAATTTTAAAAATTTCAAAAAATATTTTTTTCAATTATATAAAAATTAACATATCAATTGCAAAAAAAAAAAAAAAAATCACTATTTCGGTCAACCGGCCGGACGTCCCGTTAGGCCAAATTTTGAAAAAAAAATTCTGAAAAGCGCGGCTGCTGCAGAGAACTCTGCAGAATTTTGGAAACGTATTTCCAAAACACGTTCCAAACACCATACTGAAAACATAGTGTAGAATCATATTTTGAAAACACAAATAAACAGAGCCAAAATTTTCACGCTTTTTTGCCTTGAGGTGGTCATTCGGGAGGTTGACCAGTCAATGAAATTTTTTCACAATTTTTTGCCTTGAGGTGGTCATTTGGGAGGATATTCAGTGGTAAAAATCAAATGGCTATAAACAGTAATTTGATAAAAAGTACATTGGTCCTCAGTTTGATGAAAGAAAAGTGAAATCCTGGATTTGATATCGATTTCATGAAACTATTGGAACTGAAAAGGAACCATTTTTCATTAAATTTAAATTTGATGATAAATTTGATACACCATTGGAGATGATCTTAATACACTAATTGGTATACAAATTAGTACATGTAGCACCGCTCTTTATATTTTGATAAATATAATACCACTTTTTGCCTTCTTTTGAGATGTGGGTTGATTTTTAGACTTTTCAATTATAGAAAGTTACGGTGTCTCTTTAAGTATATGTTAACAAAGGTTTTACAATATTATAAGAATAATGGGGTGTTTTAGGAAAATAGTTAAAAAATTACTTTTTAATTTTTTTTTGACTTTTTTTTGAAAAAATATAAAAAAAAACTGTAAGAGATAATATAACTTAAAATGAGTTAAAAGTTAAACTTTTAATCTACTTTCAAAATAGGCCAATCACCTACTTGTGAGGGTCTCATATTCTAGTTGATGGAATGGTATTGGATTGTTGTAATAATTTAACTTTACTTGTCGTTAAAAGGTGTGTATTATATGTATTTTATAGTTAAAATAAAAAATGACATAATTTAATATATTTTAAATTATAACTAAGTATTCGTTTGAGATGTGAGTTGATTTTTTGATTATTTTAGTTTGGGGTTAAAATGTTTCGTTTGGTATGAACTTTTTGACTTTTTTGATTTTTGTGAAAGAAAAAATGAAATGATTATGGTTTGAATGTGACATTTTATCTTATTGATTTTTTAACTTATTTTGTCTTTTTGTGGTTAAAATAACCAAAAAAAGCCATGCCAAACATAGCCTAAATACCACACAAAAGATCTTTTGAGTCATAATTAAAATATTGTCATAATTCTATAAAAAAACAAAAATGTTTTGGAGCTCTAATAGTAATACAGGAGCACTAATAGCTCTAATGAGGTGTGGGTCCCACTGTGAAATCCCCCTAATTTCCAATTTTGGAAACTTTTTTTTTTTTTTTTTTTTTTTTTTTTTTTTTTTTTTTTTTTTTACCTGAAATGGAAATTAGGGGGATTCGGGCTCCCCCATTTTCGGGGGATGAATCACTACCCTTATGATTTGAGAGTTATATGCTTTTTGTTGTAGATGTTCGGCCTGCGTTTGGTTGTGTTTTGTAATTATGATTTGAGAGTATGAGTTGTATTTTGAGTTTGTGTGGTTTGGAATTATGATTTGAGTGTAGAAAATTTGTTTGATAAAAAGTTTTGAAAATAGTTTTGAGAAGAGTTTTGATTTAAGCGGAGAATTATTGATGTGACATTTGATATTTGATACAAAAATTTACAACTCATAACTAAACATATAACTCAAAATTATTTTAAAGCACATAAAAAATTTTAAAAAATATTTTTTTCGATTATATAAAAATTAACATATCAATTGCAAAAAAAAAAAAAAATTCACTATTCCGGTCAACCGGCCGAACGTCCTGTTAAGCCAAATTTTGAAAAAAAAAATTCTGAAAAGCGCGGCTACTGCAGAGAACTCTGCAGAGTTTTGGAAACGTGTTTCCAAAACACGTTCCAAACACCATACTGAAAACATAGTGTAGAATCATATTTTGAAAACACAAATAAACAGAGTTAAATTTTTCACATTTTTTTGCCTTGAGGTGGTCATTCGGGGGGTTGACCGGTCAATGAAATTTTTTCACAATTTTTTGCCCTGAGGTGGTCACCTGGGAGGATATTCAGTGGTAAAAATCAAACGGTTATGAACAGTGATTTGATAAAAAATACATTGGTCCTCAGTTTGATGAAAGAAAAGTGAAATCCTGAATTTGATATTAATTTCATGAAAGAAAAGGTTTTTTCAACATTTTATTACTTAAAAAAAAATAATAAATAAAAATAAAAATAAAAATAAAAGCTTTCAGCAAAGGGAAGAGAGAGGATGAAAATCCAAAAGGAAAAGGGCGGACAATCAAAATGGACGGAGGGAGATCCTTCAACATTAGGCAGGTGACGTGACACGTGGATCGAATTATAAGTTTTATTATTTTTTTTAATGTGGGCCAATATATAATCGAAAACCCGTGAAGTGGGTCGGCAATAGTGGTTGATTTGAGTGGGGTTAAGAAAAAGGTTCCCAAAATCATCTGGATCACTTATCCTATAAAAAAAAAAAAAAAAAAAAAATACTTGAGTGATATGAATGGACATCACTCACGCTTCGTCTGCGGCATGATTTCGTGGTGTCAGGTGTGTTTTGATTAAAAATGGCAATGGATAACCTACCCTATGGGTATTCATGGAGACCCAACCCAAATACATGGGTTTTCTCCTCTTTTTCTTATCCATTGGGTAGGGTAGGTGATGATTGGTGAGCATATAGTCATGCGCTGCCTTTAGGTTGGAAAATGATTTTTTTCTCACTCACTACTTCCAACTGAAACGGCTATTTGGGCCCCACTAACTCTGACCTCACTCCCTCACATACCCACAGTTTTTCCTAACTACCATTTTTCTGTCATCATTTATCCTTATTTATTTTTTATAATAAAAAAATCTTTTTTAAGTGTGTTATATAAGTAAGCTTTTTATATTTTTATTTTTTTAAGTCATATTGGTTTTGTTTGGTTTGTTTTTGAGAAAATAATTTTCAAGAATTTTTTTTTAAATTTTGTTTGGTTTAGGGATTTTAAATTTTTTTTTTCAAAATCACTTTGGCCCTGTTTGGTACAGCTTAATTTCAGCTTATTTCAGCTTTCAGCTTAATTTAAGCTATTTTGATGTGTTTGGTTTAGCTTATAGCTTATAGCTTATAGCTTTGTGGAAGTCAGAAAACAGCTTATTCTTTGAGTGGGGCAGGATATACTTTAAGAATAAGCTGGAAATCAGCTTAAGCTGAAAGTTATAAGCTATAAGCTGTTTAGGCATAAGCTATAAGCACTTTCCCACAGTTCTACCAAACGGGGCTTTTATCTCCCTTACACATCAATTAATCATTTTTTGTCTCACAAACATTTACTTTACTACAATAAAATATCAAATCATCACAAACTCTCATACTCCAAAACTATTTCTAAAATATACAATCAAACAAATCAAAAAAAATTCTAAACTCTCCTCAATTTTTTTTTTTGAAAATTTGTCTCCCAAAACCAAACCAAACACACCCATCATCTTTTTATTTTTTTACACATCTTTTCATAAAAAATTAAAAAGTATACTTATTTAAATCATTCCAAAATCACATTCTAAACGTAGTTTTTTTATTTTTTTAAACTTAAAGAAAACTGTGAGTTTGTTTGGGATGTAAGTTGGTTTTTTGGCTATTTTAGCCTAGGGCTAAAAAGTCTTGTTTGGGAAGAATTTTTTGACTTTTTGTGAAAGAAAAAATATAATGATTATAAATTGAATGTGATGTTTTACTTTATTGAACTAAGAAGCCTATTTTATTTTCTTTAACTATTTTAGTCAAAAAAAAAAAAAAAAAAAAAAACCAACAATCCAACTCTCCAACTTCCAAAACAGAGGCTATTACTTTAAACAGGAGTCATTTCATCACTCATTATTATAGAATTATTAGGAAGAACCGTTTTTTCAACATCCCAACTTCATCTACTTTGAACTCCCCCTCTATTCTATAATGGTTAGGGAGATTTTTTACAACTTTATATTTACATTTAAATTGTTTATTCAAGTATGTAAATGACTATGAGACCAACCTCCTACTCCGTATGAGGTTTTTAACATCAATAAATACATAATCAATCATAACATCAATAATATAATAAGTAAAACTATATCTTTCATAATGGAGATCACAATCTTTGTATAGTTAAGATTATTTTTTAAAGTTGATTTTGTAATCGGTTTTAGTGTTTTAAGTAATGCGGTTTTGTTTGGCAAAAAGTTTTATGCTGATTTTTTGTAATGAGCTTTTAGTGAATTTTTTATATTTTAATTGAATAAATAGTCTGAAAATGAATTAAATAATCACTAAAAATCCACACAAAAAAAAAAAAATCCAAAAAAAAAAAAAAAAACCATATAGTTGGCTAATTTGGAGGCCGAATAAATTAATTAAAACAAATTATCTAGAACATTTTAGCACATATTTATTGAATCTATACAATTATAGAAGGAAAAAAACTTGTCACTTCACTTTTTTTTTTTTTTTATATATTTTTTTACTATAATTCAATATTCTGAAAACAAGCCTCAATCCTAAAAGTTGAGATATTAGATTCATGGTGAGAATAGTAATTTTTATTGCTATAAATACTACATATGTCTTTACAACAACACCACCACCACCACCAAACACATTCCATATTTCACATTCCCAACAATGGGGCGGTTGTGGAGAAGCTCTAAAAGCTTTCGGGTAAGCAATACGCTCATCACATTCTCTTTTAACTTTCCATCCTTTTCTTTTCCATTTTTCTCACCAACCAAATAGAGTGTACCACTGTATATGGCTTCTAGTTTGACAACCATTTTCTTCAATGTGGATTAACCCAGAAGACTGTTTCTTGATGTTTGTTACTTTGATTTCTAGTTCTTGTCCCAAATCTCTCTCTTCCAATGAAAAAAAAAGCGACTAGTCGTTTTGTGTCCATAGATAACCTTTCAGTTTCTTCCTCTGTTTTCATTTAAGTAGTGTTTTTTAGTAGTTTTTAGAAAATAAATTGTAAAAACAAAACAAGCAAAGTGCTAGTGTTTGAGTTTTGTCATAGGTAAGACTCTCATCATATGCTATGGCCTAGTGTACAAGGCTTCTGCCCAAGTGAAATTTACGCTGTGTTTGGTTGGAGGATTTGAGGAGGAATTTAGAAAGGGAAAAGAAAAAATTAGGTGAAATGTGAATAAAATACACTTATATTTCACCTAATTTTACACACTTTTTTTCTTTTTTTTTTCAAATTTCTCCCTAAATCTCCCGACCAAACACACTATTAGGAAAGACAACATGTATGCAATTTTACCATATTTTTATGGATGTTTCTGTGAGTCATTAGGCCATGTTTGGTTTTGGTTGAAATTAGTCGCTTTTTGGTTATTACTGATCCTATGGGCTCTGGCCTTAAAAAGATGGCCTAGTGTCGGTTTTAAAAAAGACAACATGTATGCAGTATTATTCTATCTGTTTGAAGGTTTCTGAGTCATTAGGCCGTGTTTGCTTTTGGTTGAAATTAGCCACTTTTTAGTTGGGGTAAATTACACTAACACCTATTGAAGTTTCTGTTTAGTATAGATTCTTTTCATATTTGAAAAATTATACTTACTTTCTATCCGATTAAAATGACATATTTGCTCTTTAATCTTTATACATATAAAATAATAAAATAATATTGATATTTTGTTCATGTCATTTCAAGACAAATAACAATCATATTTTTTAGTTTAATTTACACAAAAAATTAATTTTTTTTTTATTTTCCGTATTTTTATTGATTTTTTTAATATTTTAATCAAAATTATAGATTCTTTTCACATTTGAAAAATTACACTTACTTTCTATCAGATTAAAATGACATATTTGCTTTTTAATCTTTATACATATAAAATAATAAAATAATATTAATATTTTGTTCATGTCATTTCAAGACAAATAACAATCATATTTTTTTAGTTTAACTTACACAAAAAATTAATTTTTTTTTATTTTCCGTATTTTTATTGATTTTTTTAATATTTTAATCAAAATTTTTATTTTTTTATTTTTTAGATGCACTTAATTTAAATATACTTACGAAATATAATATTTTGTAATTTTTTTTTTAAATTCATCAAATACAAAAAAATATAAAAATTTAGTAACACTATAATAAATGTGAATGACGGTATTTGGTAATACTGTAATAAATGTGAGTGAATAGACGAGAAAGAAAAATAATGGTGAAAATAAAAAAAAAAAAATTCTATTTATATATAAAAATTTATGCAAAAAGTATCATAAAAATATTGTAATATTGATGTTGTTATAAATATAAATTATGCTTATGAATGTTTTGTTTTAAAGTGAAAGGTCACTATTAAACTATATCATTATGTTTGAAAATTTTATATAAAATTTATATTTATATATTATCATTCAATAAGAATATGTTCAAGTAAAATTTAATCATGATGATAAAAAGAAGAAATGGTAAAAAAATTAACAAAATGATTATTTAAAAAATTTTAAGCCTCCATTTGATAGTTACTTGTTTAGTTGATAAAAAAGCAGAAAATAAAAGTAAATTTTTTTTAGCATTTGTTAAACCCACGGCCTTTTTTTAACAATTATTTTTTTTAAAAAAAAATTAAAAAAAAGTAATTGCCAAACAAACAACAAGCTTTATCGCTTGAGCCCAAGGCGTCAAAAATATAAACTAAAATAAAATCTAAATATTTATAAAATTTATTAATTTATATAAATATTTTTCTAATTATTCGGAAAGATAGCAAAGCTTACCCCCATTTTCAAACAAACTGTTTTCAGTACTCGAACCTAATTGTTAGGGTTAAGACATAACCAAAAAGATATAAAATCTAATAAAATAAAAATCAATCCTAATATAGCTTGTTTGATTATTGTGCTTTTGTTTTCGTATTGATGGGTATGCATGCTTGGCTTGCTCTGTTCTAGCAGGTGATTTGGGTACTTTTAGTGTTGTTTGGAGTGTTTAGCCTTGGTAGAAGAGTTGAGAGTAGAAAGGCAAGGGTTTTGGATTCATCATCATTTGAGTACTCAGCAATAAGTTGCAGAGCTCACAGTGCATCAATAACAGACTATGGTGGAGTTGGTGATGGAGAGACATCAAACACAAAAGCATTTCAAAAGGCTGTGAATGAGTTGAGCCAGTATGGATCAGATGGTGGGTCACAACTCTTTGTTCCTGCTGGAAAATGGCTAACTGGGAGCTTCAACCTCACTAGCCACTTCACTCTCTTTCTCCACAAAGATGCTTTTCTTCTTGCTTCCCAGGTACCCTTTTTACATTATTTTTTTTTGGTTAAAAAATTATTTTATTTTTTTGCTTTTATTTTCTATCCAACTCATACACACATATACATATACATGTATTTTGTTGACACGAGAATTTCTGTTACTTTGTCTTAATGCACTTTCAATCATACTATCTTGGCTCGAGATTCCTTTCAAAATCCGTACCCCTATCCCAATACAAATGTAATTGTATGAGTATGCTTTGAGATTTCTATCATATTGTGCGATTGGGAGTGCATTAAAAACATAAATACATAATTGAGACTGAGAAATCCACTGTATGTGTTTAAGTTTTCTAGTACAAAATTTGATGGGTATACTACTTTTTTCTTAGTGGTGAATGAGGTCGAGTTATAATATAGTGATAAAGCTGTTTCATTGTGACTTGAACATTATCGAGCAACTAAGTATTTTTAACATTCCAAACCCTTATGAATTATAAAATGCCAAAAATCCAAAATTTGAAGGGTATTCAGAAATTAATTGGGAATATGACAGTAAATTTGGAGCTTTAGAAATCAAAATTTTTGGAGAGGAAGGGAATTAGTCAAACTCATGATCTCGGCTCAACCTCAGCATAGTGAGGTGTATGGATTCTGGCCATTAGGATGGGTTTCCTTGTTTGGCTGCTGCCAACATTCGCTTTTGGTTAGGAAGACAATTACGTTTGGACCTTGCAAGTTGCAATTGTGGGTTGAAAGAAAAAATAAAATAAAATGAAAGAAGCTAAACTTATCTTTCATAGGCAAACTATACTCGTAATCTTTGTAATTTGTCTCTTGCGTCAATTTGATCCATATAACTTTATAATTGTAATAATTTTTACTTTTAAAATTTTCACACCGAAGGGATAGAAGGGCAATGAAAATTATTGGTATAAAAAAAAAATATTTCAAATTAGAAGTCAACCCTTCAATCACTTTAAGAAGAGTAAATAAACTATTTTCTCCCTTAATTTCAATCCAATTACTAAAAGAGCGTTATAAAAATTCAATAATTAAAATTGATGCAATTAAAATTACAAAGACTAAATCAATATTAGAGACAAAATACAATGATTAAAACCCTAAATAATCCTTTTATAATGGTTGAATTTAAACATAGAGAATTTAAATTCCATCATACCATCGTTGAAAAACGAACCTTAACACTTTGCATCCCTTTGCACTTCGTCAACTCTCCCACCAAAAAATTTGACCAAAAAATTTGAGTGGTCCCTACATTAAAAGTGTTTGCTAAAAATAAAAAACAGATAAAAAATAACAACCAAACAGACCCATCATTCCATGTTGTTATCTTGTGGTAGTGTTTATCCAGTGAATTAACTGCATCATCATCACCATCATCAACTGTTTCTCAGGACATAAATGAATGGTCAGTGATTGATCCTTTGCCATCGTACGGTCGAGGAAGAGATGCAGCTGGTGGAAGGTATATCAGCTTCATTTTTGGAACAAACCTCACTGATGTTGTTATTACAGGTAATTTTTTCAACCAAAAAAAAAAAAATCACATGTGTAGCAATTTTACATTTCTAGTTGTACTTCAAAACTACTAGCTTTACTATTTGGGATATGTTTTGACTACAATCACTAGTAATCTTAGACGAATTAGATAGGTATAATTTGATTAGGGGTGTAAGGGATTAATTTCGATCAAGATTGAGGAAAAATTTAGTATCCAATCGAACCGTTCGATTTTATTGAATGAAGAACTGAAACTAATCACCTACTACTATTGTTTTGTCCATTTTTATGATTTAGTGTGTATAAAGGAGTGATTGAGAGTAGAATCTCACTTCGAGAATAAATAAAGAGTTAATCTAAATGTCTCCCTCCCTTTTGTGTTCATTCATCATCTATCATTTAATGCTCAAAGAGTCTGAATATAAAAATATTTGGTCCAATATCAAAATCGAAACAAATCGTATATTTTGAAAGTATTACAGAAAATCAATATTTCGATCAATTTTGAGCGGTCCATTTGGTTTCCCCAATCTTTCATACAACCCAACATTTGATGTATATTAGGTGACAATGGCACCATCGACGGCCAAGGTGCTTTCTGGTGGCTACAATTCCACAAGAAAAAGATAAAATACACCCGGCCCTACCTGATTGAGATCATGCACTCCGACAGCATTCAGATATCGAATCTAACGCTCCTAAACTCCCCAGCATGGAATGTCCATCCTGTCTACAGCAGGTAATTTGCTCCCTCAAGTACCCTAAATCTCCCTATTTCATTGCATCAGTATCAAGTTTCATGCTTTCTCCTATCAATCCCCGCCCGTATTGGTCCACGTGGCACAAAAGCAACAGTCTGATCTTTTTCTCATCTATAAGATCACCTGATAGGAAATTATTGTGTATATCAATTGCAGTAATATTCTTATACAAGGCATTACAATCATTGCCCCGATAACATCTCCAAACACTGATGGGATCAATCCAGGTCCATTCGATTTGTTTGTTCTCTGTGATTATTAGCCTTAGGAGGCCACTTGATTAGCTGACTTTTTGATCATTTGTGTTTGATTCCATGATTAGATTCTTGCACAAATACAAGAATTGAAGACTGTTATATTGTCTCTGGAGATGATTGTGTGGCGGTTAAAAGCGGTTGGGATGAGTATGGGATAGCATACGGTATGCCAACCAAACAGTTGGTGATCAGACGGCTCACGTGCATTTCGCCATTCAGTGCAACGATTGCATTGGGAAGCGAGATGTCGGGCGGGATCCAAGATGTTAGGGCCGAGGACATCGTGGCCATCAACACCGAATCAGGGGTCAGGATCAAGACAGCTGTAGGCCGGGGAGGCTACGTAAAGGACATATATGTAAAAGGCATGACCTTGCACACCATGAAGTGGGCATTTTGGATGACCGGAAATTATGGGTCCCACGCCGATACCCACTATGATCCAAAAGCACTGCCGGTGATTCAAGGGGTGAATTATAGAGACGTGGTGGCAGAGAACGTTTCAATGGCAGCGAGGTTGGAGGGGATTTCCGGTGATCCATTCACTGGCATTTGCATTTCAAATGTGACGATAAGGATGGCTGTGAAGGCAAAGAAGGTGCCTTGGACTTGCACCGACATTGAGGGGATCACGAGCAGTGTGACTCCTCCGCCGTGCGGCTTGTTGCCAGATCAGGGTCCAGAGAAAATCAGGATGTGTGATTTTCCTTCGGAAAGTCTACCTATAGATACAGTTGAGCTCAAGAGTTGCACTTACGCTTCAATGAAGTACCTATGAACTCTCCAATGTGTGATTTTCCTTCGGAAAGTCTACCTATAGATACAGTTGAGCTCAAGAGTTGCACTTACCCTTCAATGAAGTACCTATGAACTATCTAAATTTGTACCATCTACATATTATGAAAAAAATGTAATATATTAGGAGCTTGGTTGATGATTATGTCCAATGCCCTATCTTCATGTTTCAATAAGAAAACAAGATTGGATTGCCTCTAAAATATTGACTAAGAGCAATGTTGAAGCATCGAAAGCCGAATTATCAGTTTTAGTATAGCAATATAAAGAATATTGAGCAATACATATCAGAAAATAAATAAAAAAAAGAAGCTATAAACCAATGTGTATGGAGCAATTTCATTTCCATAGGTATATTTATACTAGTGTATCAGTATCCAAGCATGTCTTTACATACACACCACCTATCTCATAACAACAAAACAGAAAAGAATCTATGGAGTTTTACATGTACTCTAGTAGGATGTAAAGATGAACCGAGAAATAGTTACAAAGGATGGTAGGAATGATGAGAAAAGCGACAACAGCTACCGGTACTACCCCCTTCTTGTAATTCTACTAACCAAAAAGAGGACACACCAACAAATGAATTGGCATTCTCAGAAATTCCGGTTCAGCTCCTCTGTACTGCATCTGAATGCTAAATAAAATACAAGGATACGATAACACTAGTCCTAAGAACTCAAACAACAACATTTTTTATGTCAAACCAATTTGTTCCATCCGAGGATTTGTAAGGGGTTTAAGATGGTATAAAACATGGGAATCATGCCCAATATCTAACTGTATACATCACACAATCACATTTGCCTTAATGAATTGGAGGGTCGGGATTGAATTTTACAGATTCCCTCCATATGAGCTCCTTGATGTTCTCTTCGGTGAATGATGGCTGCTCAAAATCAAAATTGAAAGGCCTAGGGCAAACAGGCTCCTCATTGATATCGTGAAGCGGAGCCAAGTATGGGTGGGATAGTGCTCCATCAACTGCAAATAACCAGGAGGAAAGATGACAATCAACGGAAAAGATGGAGAGAATGCTCAATTAACAAAAATTATATAGTTGGTTGATGAAGTAAGAAATTTTATAATTAAGCGTAAATAACCTGATAGCATTGATCTTTCAAATTCAAAACCTACTTCAACATCTTATAGGATTTATCAATGACTTTGTTTAGAACCAGGGGTTACCTGAAAACGCTAGCACTCAGCGATTTATGTTTTAGAATTCATGTTCCAAAATATGGCACAATTCCGTTCCTAGAATCGTGTTTTTACATGATTAATTTATAATTAAATTTTATTAGATGCCTAACTAATAAAATATAATCATATTTAGTAGTCTCTTCAATTAGTAATGTGATGTATACAATCCTACCTCGTATCACATTTTAGAGTATATGGCATACCACATTCTCGTTTATGTTCCTCAAACTCTAACGATCTGCGTTCTAGGTAACATAGTTTAAAAGAACACTTTTGGTGTGAAAACATAACATCTACTGCCTATCTGAAAATCAACCATTGATTTCCTAGATTTTAGCAGAAATCTTCACCAGACTCTTATTATCTGTCAGAAGTCATGATTCAATGGGCAACATTGCAAAGTTTTTTTTTTTTTTTAATTGAAAGGTAGGCTTAAATTAGTCTTCTGCCCTATTTAAAAGAAACCTAAATTACATCATACCTGTAATGCGCCTGTTCGGGTCAAAGACGAGCATTTTCTCCAGCAAATCTACAGCTGCAGGAGACATATTGGGAAATCTAGCAGAGAATTGTTGCCGTGAGTATTGTGGAAGCTGCCTTACGTATCTTCGGGCATTATCACTTCGGAGAAAACCAAGACTTGCATCATCAGGTGAACCTATAAGCTATTGGAAACAAAAAGAAGACAATGCACACTAGTTATACCCAAAGTTGATCCGAATTTCAAATAGACATACAACTTCTTTGCATTTCACTATTTTATTTTATTTTTTTTCTGATGAGTACAATGTCTCACCCAATTTGTAGATGAAAACCTCAACATGAGCAAGCAGACAAACCAAAGAAAATCTACTCTGACATGATTTTTTTTTTCTATAAAAGAAGAAAAATAATAATAATGTCGGAATCTATTGAAACATATCAAAGTTCCAATGTTTCAAACTTTAAAGCACCACAAACAAACAAGACTAAATAATTAAAAAAAAAAAGAGTACGGCTCTGTTTGGTTTGGGTCTCAAATCATGATTCCACCCTCATATTTCAATCTTTTGTTTGATTATAGTTTTCAAAATATGATTCCAAATCACATTTCAAAACACATTTGAAAACATGTTTTGGTAAACTAGAGAATTTTTGAATTTTTGGGTCTACCTAGTCATCCGTCTGGACATCCCCCGAACATTTTTTAAATTTTTTGGTCTACCCGGTCGTTTGCCCGGACATCCTCCGGTTGACTAGGCTGGTTGACTAGAATAGTGCTTTTTTTTTTTTTTTTTTTGCAATTTTCGCTTATTTTGTTTTCAAGTATATATTTGTTTTTGATATTTTTTAAATATAAAAATTATTTTTTTAAGACCAAAATGACAAATTATTTGGCCATTCATTTAAAATTAACAAAAAAAAATTTAGATATAAATTAATTTGTCACAATAATTTTTAAAAAATAAAAAAACATTTTTACACAATACAATTAAAAAAAATTCCAACCAAATATACAATCAAAAGTAATTTTAAAACGCTAGCTGAATATTTTTTTTAACAAAAAATAATATATCTTTTTTTAATGTTTTAAATAAAAAATAATTTCGAGATTTTTTGAATTTTTTAAATAAAAAATTATTTTTTTCAATAATTATTTTTTTGAATTGAATTTTAAAAAGAGTTTGGTTATGAGCTTTGAATAAAATTTTTAATAGAGTTTTGAGTTGTGTATTTAGTTATGAGTTATAAGTTTTTGAATTAAGTTTTGAAAACTCTTTTCAAAACTCAAAACCAAATAACTTTTCTTATTTCAAAACTCAATTCATTTTTTTTTTCAAAACTCATAACCAAATAAACTTTCTCTTTTCAAATCATGATTCAACAATTCACAAATTCAAAATACAACTCCATTCTCAGATCATGATTCTAAAACTAAACCAAATGCAACCTATATCTTACAATTTTTATTTTACTGACCCTTTCTTTCCTTACTTTTAGGGTCCCTAGATCAAGTGAAACCCTGTTATCCCCCTACCCACCATGGGTTGTTGAGTACGGCATTCAACACTACCTATTCTAGGGCTAATGTAATATTTAAAGAAGAGAGCCCTGTTAGGGCCTTTTTGTTCAAGGATTGCTCGCCTTTTGAATGGAAGGAAGTGGGTAGCTGAGTCAAAATTTTTATCTGTTTTGTATTTGTTTTGGCGATATGGTCAAGTGGCAAGAACAGGGATTCCAAAACCATTTTCCCCAGTTCAAATCTGGGTGAGGACACCTTTGAGCTTTCCAATATCAATAGGTTAATTGTTTCGCTCTTATATCTTCCAAAAGGAAAAGATCTCCAAGAATTGTTTACTAAATCTATGTATTTTTATCGATTGACCAATTTCTTAACCCTAGAGTAGAACCTAAAGAGATACCACTTCCTCGTCAATTTACCTTCAAGAACAAAAGGGTATTAAAACGTCTTATCCAGGCCCTGGAAATTCTTAGACTTTCCAAAGGAAAGCATTGTTAGTTTTTGTTACGACTAATGATATGGACAGGCTTAAGCATCAACAGAATGAAATGGTACTCGGTTACCTAACAAGGCAATCTTTAATGTCCCTCATCATAACTATATAAACTCATCTCTCAAACATCAACTAATTAATACTTTGACATCTGAAGATTCAAAATTCTGATTAACGCAATGTCCAGCATTTGTTAACTAGAAATTACACATACATTATACATAAATTGCGTTGAGTGAAAAGAACAGAACTTCCTCGACTTTTGCTAACAACAGATTGGTAGGGAGCAATCATATGATTAGGAGAGCAATGGCTAAAAATCCGTAAATGTCAAGAGAGCACTAGGTCAAAAACACACTTGTCAACAAACCTAGGAAGAAAAGAAAAATCCAGTTAAAGTCATACCTCTGTGATGAGTCGAAGCTGATGAACATAATCTCTGCCAGGGAATAGGGGTTGTCTAGTCATAATTTCACCAAACACACAACCTACTGACCAAATATCAATTGCTGCAGTGTACTCTGAACAATTAAGAAGCAATTCCGGTGCCCTGTACCAGCGAGTAACAACATACTCAGTCATGAAATCTGTTTCAGATGTTGTCCTTGCAAGCCCAAAATCTGCAATCTTCAGGTCACAATTTGCATTGAGGAGCAAATTGCTGGGTTTCAGATCCCGATGCAAGACATTTGCAGAATGAACATATTTGAGCCCTCGTAACAATTGATACAGAAAGTACTGCACAAGTAGTATTGAAGAATTAATTGAATGCTTTGTAATCAATACAAGCCGGTCCAGCAAAAGTCATGCTGGCAGAGTTAGATTGTTTTTAGTAATAAAATCCCTGAGTAAATTGAAGCTAAAATATATTTACATAAGTTCTACTTTAGAATCAAATATATTGTTTGTTTAAGTTCAAGTTCAACTTTACAAAAATTCTTCATACTTTACAATAAAAAAAAATTCTACTCTATAAGTCATACTTTTCTTCATACTGGAGACTCTAGAAGTCAAGTTCTACTTTACAATAAAATCTTTTTAAATAAGTTCTACTGTATCAGTTGTAATTTAGAACAACCTACTATTTTTTACTCATTTTATTGAATGCTCTTACTAGCCACTTGACTTCTAGAGAATTCTTGAAGTTTTTTCCTTGTGAAAATCTATCCAAGGTCAACACCATATGTGGGAGCGGAGCAACCCACCATGAAGAGCTAAGAAGCATAGACACAAACACGGATACACCAACACAATAATTTGTTAAAAAATGTAGGACACGACACTTGGGGGACAAATGCAAAATATATAAGAAGGGCAGTAGCAGTGCATGAGGCTTCTGCCACTGCGGCGTCTGGGAGGGTTACATTAGATGTACACAACCTTACCTCTGCATGGAAAGAGGTTGTTTCCTTGGTTTGAAAGAGATTAATATATATAAATTTATATTGTTTTTCTTTTATCCTTGTATCATTTGTTATTTTGTTCAAACTTATAATATATTTTATGCATTTCTAAACAATGATCATGTGTGCTCTCCAAGTATCCAAAGTGTGTTTGGATCTAAAATAATCTTAGAAAATAATATGACACATTTGGACGAGTATCCAATATGTCTTGGGAAGTGTTTGTGGCCGACACAGACACACCACCTTCTTAGAAATGTAAGTGCTTCTTAGGCTAAGAGTTTCTAACAACCAAGGGACTTCATGAACACTAAAAATGATCTCAATCTAAATCATACCATTAAAGTGATGGCTAATTAACACAATTAGCTAAAATATAAACTACACCACTTCTTGTAGTTGTCACACTTCTGTAGCTTTCTATCCTTGTCATGCTAAAGAGGGAAGACAGAATATTAAAATTATAAATGCAAAGTGCAATATACGTAATGCAAAGAGCGTAGATACAAAAGTGATTGGATAATAGAATGTGGCAATAGTGAAAAAAACCTATGAAAGAGTTGGTAGACTTTGAATCCAACTTTTGGTCAAGTAAAGCATCATAATTCATTTAGTAGGCTATGAACTACAATGATAAAGAGGAAAGACAGAATATTAAAATTACAAACGTGAAGTGTGAGATACAGAATGCAAAGAATGCAGATAATTATAATAATAATAAAAGGATTAGATAATAGGTGGCAATAACCAAAAAGAATAACAAACAAGAAGTCAGCCTATGAAAGAGTCGCTGTATTCTGAATCCAACTGTTGGTCAAGTGAAGCATTACAATTCATTCAGTAGCCGATGAACACCCTAAATTCATCACTCTAGCTACATAAGAACTGACTTTAATCTGTTTGGTTGAGTTTCGGAATCTGTTTTTTGAAATTTTTTCACAAAAACTAGTTTGGTAAAAAATATGACAAAAAAAAAAAAAAAAAAAAAAAAAAAAAAAAAAAAACCCCCTTTTTTTTTTTTTGGTTTTTTCCCCCTTTTTTTTTTTTTTTTTTTTTTTTTGAGACGGAAATTATTTTTGTAAGTTCAAAAATAACTTTTTTGGTGTAAAACTTAACCAAACAAAGGTATAAGAAGTAGAGCCAAACCCGGCAATGATCATTCGACAATTGTTGGTTGGATCGAATTATCTGATGAAGATCAGTGTCCATTAATTCAGAAACAGTGTAGACATCATTGAAGTTTTCCTTTTGTGGAGGGCGTATAATGTCTTTGATTGCAATAACCTGCAGTGGCAAAAAGAAAAACAGAAAAAAGTGCTTATGATTGCAGCATAACAGCAAACTTAACATTTTAAGATATCATGGTAATTAAGAAAATCAAGGCAGATAAAGATAGAAATCCATGCAAGAAACCAAAAAGCAATTCAAAAACTGAAGAAATATCAACTCAACTCATTAATGCCTTTTCCTAACTACATGGGGTTACCTACATAAATCATGTTTTGCCATTCTACTCAATCAAGAGCTATTATTGTAGTTAAAGCCACAAACTAGCATGTCTTTTATTATATTAACCCATGTTAATTTCGGTCTTCCTCTTCCCCCTATTATCACCCTCAATGGTTCCACATCCTGTATGTGTCTAACCAATTCATCAATAACTAGTGAAAAAAGACACGGGCTTCATGATGATCCTTGATGAAGAGTTACAGTGATGGGGAAATCATTAGTCTTTTTGTAGCTATTCTCACAATGTTCATGGCTCCATCATATGTCTTTTATCATTTTAATATATTTATATGGGACTCCTATTTTTTCAAAACCTACCACATTCACATTATATCTCTAGAGACCCAATTATATGCTATCTCCAAGTCTATCAAAATCATATGAAGATTTTCTTCTTTTCTCTATACATTTCCACTAATCTTCTTAATACATAAATTGCTTTCATTGTTGACTATTATGCGTCAAGTATAGATTTACCATCACTCTCTTCCAAATAAGATATCTTTCAATAAATAGCTAATAAAATACTATTTCTCCACATTCTCTTTCTTAATTACTATAATTTTATTAAATAGTTCTACATCTCCTAGATACTTCTATTCCAATACAACCCTCAATAGGGGTGCCATCAAGCATTAGACATCTTCCTATTTTGATCTTCCCCAGCACAGTCTACTGCCTTAATCCTTCCAAAAAATAAAAATAAAAATAAAAATAAAAAATTTCTACTCTCTAAACTCCTACGTTACACGGACTCGGGTGTGGATATTGGGTACCGGTGTGTATCTATGGGTCAGATACTTTAAAAATAAAAATTGAGGATACATAAATATGGATCTAAATTTGGATACCGGTATGAGGATACGCTAAATAATTATTTTTAAAATATATTTATTATATAAAGATGGGTTTAAAAAAAAGTTGGCGGTCCAAAGCCCGAGAAATTCTGGGAACTAGAGATGTTGAATGCAGGAGCACTAGAAAATCCAAGGAATAACAAATTTATTAAAAAAATAACAAATAAAAATTAGTTTAGGTATAAAATAAATTATTTTTATTTTAGGAATAAAAATTATATTATTTATGATATATATTATATTATATAATTTTTTTTGGCTGAATGATATTATGTAATATGAATAATATATATATTATTATATTATATAATATAAATCTAATTTAAAAGAAGAGAATAGAGAACAAAGAGGAGAAGACGAAACGAAGAAGAGAGAGAGAGAGACCAAGACCAAAGGGGAATCGAAGCCCTAGGATCATTTTTTGGGTGGAATCGACTTCGCAATGATCTAGGGCTTGCTTCGCAAAGGTGAGTTTCAGCCTCTCTCTCTCTCTCTCTCTCTGAGTTTCAACCGTATCCGTTTGTATCTAGCCGTATTCCGCACTTGTACCCATGTCATGTCGTGTCGACACAGGTACCTCTCACAAAACAGAGAGTCCGTGTAATGTAGTTTAGTAAACTCTATACTATTACCACTTTCTTCTAATAATAAGTTCCACACAAAATTTCCATTCAATAACTTTTCAAAGTAACCTCCCTGATTTCCCCATCTTGCACAAATTTACTTAGATTCCTGTCTTTTGTGTATATGATAACTTATTACTTGATGGATGAATGATACTACTCACTCTACGCTTAAACTTTCAATTTAAGCGTTTAGTCAGTGTTCCTTGAATGAATTTTTTTATTTTTAATTAGAAAAAAACTCACCACAAATAGGTCATGACAAAAATAGAAAGTAAAACAAAAGTGCACAACCAAGAAGCTATCATAGGCAAGTAGATATTTGGCATCCTAGAAGTTATAAAGGTAATAAAACTTACATTTTCATGATCCATGTGAAGAAGAAGTTTAATTTCTCTTAGTGTCCTTTTTGCATCTATTCTATTGTCAAATGCATTACCAATCTTCTTAATTGCAACTTCCTCACGTGTCTCCGAGTTCACAGCAGCACTGAAGCAAAATAAAAAAGTCACAGTTTTCCTTTACATTTTTTATGAACATATAAAACAAGTGAAACAGATGAAGAAGTATACCCTAATTTGAACCTCAAAATAGTATATACCATCCAACAGGTAAATACTCCCAAATTGAACACTACCTCAAAGTCCTCAAGTGATCTACAGGCTACACAAACCACATATATTCCAAAGTTATAGAATCTGACATGTGAAATTGATAATCCGAAACATAATGAGCTGGTCAACACAAGTTTGAGACTTTGATTGGACACTTCACGCCAAGGTTTTAAATATAGGCCGTTAATGTATTGTATCGGCCAATACATCACAGGATTTTGGCTTTCTAATACCATAATTCATCAATATACCAGCCTATATTGTCCGACATCAATCAATATATGACCGTATCGCCAATATTGATACAAATCTTGATACCATTATTTAAAATCATGCTTCATGTTAATTGTTTGATGATAGGAAAATAAAATAATAAAAAGAGGCTTCCTGTCTAATGAAACATAACTTATAGATGCTCACGGAAACATGTTAGACTACAAAAACCGAGGCAAATGTAGTTTTGGTATTACTAACATATATGCATGCACAAGTGTCTCATATGGATTGGTGCATCCCTATTTGTAGAAATTGTGAAGTCACCTCGACTCCCAGTGTAATGATCATGTCCATAGAAACATAGCTTTCATGGTACAAGAACAAATAAAGTTAAGGAGGAGTAGACATAGGAATGGCAAAATCGAAAATGTATAACAATTTGATTCACCCAACCAAGATAAAAACAATAGAAAATTCAAACAACAATTAAAACCAAAAAAAGAAAAAAAGAAAAAGGAAAATGGTCATAATAAAACATATCAATCTACAAACTAAAACATTCAATTAAGGATAATTTGCCACACTCAGAGGAAGGAACTCAAGTTTGATAGTCAATTCATAGTGACATAATATAGATATCATGCATCCAAATCACCAATTTGAATATAAGTCGATAAGTTGACAGGTAATTAGTGAAGGTGTACATAAGTTCGGACATTCAATTATAAAAAATCTAAAAATTAAAAAGAAGTTCAAATCTGGTAATCGCAAATTCGCAATAAGGGGGGGGGGAATAATAGATAAAATCTCAACCTTAATTTGATGAAGTAAATGTTGCGTTCCATTTCCAAAACACCAACTGAGAATGAAACTAACCCGGTTACATGATCACATCAAAATAAGTCTTGAAGACTGAAAGTTCTATACCCTTTAGAAATCCCAAAACACAACAGAAAAATAAATGAAGATTTTACCCACATGTACATAATTTAAGTTTAGTAATTACAAAAAAAAAAACACATTTTTTATGATTTTGAATTTCTACAAAACATATATAGAGAATCTACGGACAAAAATCACCCAAAAAATAAAAATAAAAATAAAATTACTACAAAACCGTACAACTATCTTCAACAACATCCAAAACCCACTTGAATTCTGGCCCAATAACAACAATATGAATCTTAATCGCACAAAAACATATGAACTAACACATCTATGACTACACATATACATATATATAACCATGAAAAGAAAAGAACAGAAAAAAAATAGATAAAATCGATAGCACAAAATCACAAAAGCAGCTCGAGTAAAAAAAAGAAAACCAATTTAACTTCAGTAATTGCATTCTCAAACACAAAACAAACAAATTTCAACGGCTTTGACTTTCTTCAAACCACATATACAGAACCTAAGGACAAAAAACAGCAAAAGAATAAAATTAAAATTACTACACAACCTTACAACTATCTTCACAAATATCCAAAACCCATTCGAATTCTAGCCGAATAAGACAATAAAAACAATCTCAATCCCACATAAACATGAAAACTTACACATCTATGAGTACATACATACACATACATAACCATGAATATACCCCAAAACAAAAAGACAAAAAATAAATAAAAGTAGAGATCACAAAATAGGAAAGGAGTTGGAACCCATTTGAGTACTTACCAAACGATGCCATAAGCGCCTCGACCCACAGGGCGAATCGGAGGGATATACTTTCTGGAGACTTCGAAGAGAGTACCGTACACATTGTACTGAACATAGCGTCCACCGTGGGTGGGTATTCCGGCGATGTTCCCCTCAGACATAGTACAAAATCAAACAATGAATTTGGAGTAGACGTTGCTGAATCGGAGGAAGAAGAGTTGAATTTGGGGAGGGAATGAAAGAGAGGAGACAGGGGTGTTTAATAGTATTGTATAGATCTTTTTGACGTTGTCTTTGGGTCTTTGGCGTGGTGAGGAGAGGAGAGGAGAGTGCTTGTGACTTTTCTTTTCCTTTCTTTTCTCTTCCTTTCCTTTCCTTTCCTTTCTAGCGAGAGAAAATGTGACGTGTGTGAACTTTAGGGAAGGCTTTTGAACTGGATCAGCCATGGTTATCCGTGATGTTAACTACCTTTTTCTTTCTTTTTTTTTTCTTTCTTTGGATGTGACTCATGCCTCCATCATCATATCATTTCTAATTAAAATAGTTATAAATTGTGTATAAATTAATTGAAAAAAAAAATTAATTTTATTTATTATGAATTTAATAATTCAAAAAATGAACATGTTCTCCTAATTCAAATGTGTTTAAATGAATAATTTTTGGGAGGAAAATTATTTTTTAAAATAATTATAATTTCACTCATGTAACAAAATAAATTTTTAATTTTTAATTTTAATATTAATAGTGAGAGGATTAACAATTTATAAGATTAGTGTGAGATTAGTCATTCAACTGAATTAGTGAGATACATAATTCATTTTTATCCATGTTTGTTTTGTAATAGATATAAAAATATATTAATCTCAATTATATAAATAGTTTGCATCATCAGTAATAGGATTAAAAAAATTCGTCAATTTTATTAGATCAATAGTCATTGTAATCTAATTCGAATAATGAAATTTACAACCAAATAATAGAATGTTAGTTTCATAAATTAATAATTTCAATATTGTAATATTATAATTCACTCAATCAAATAAGTTCTAAGAGGTTATTAGAGATTTATTCGGTCGTCAATTTTAAAATTAATTAAAATGTTGCAAATTAGTTCAGACATTCAATTATAAAAAAATTAAAAATTAAAAAGAAGTTCAAATCTGGTAATCGCAAATTCGCAATAATATAATGAACAATAAAGAAAATAAAAGTAAAACACGTGGTGAGACGAGATCCACGAATCCAACTAGACAGAAGACTGGCATTTCTCCAATTGGAGAGAAGCTCCCAAGTGTGAATATATATATAGAATATGATGGAGTGCTCTGTGGTTTTCTATCGGAAAAGTATACATTTTGGATGAATACAAGAAGATGTGGACAAGTGAGGTCTCTGTGCTGTGAAAATCTCATAAATCAAAATTATTGTTGGAAGAGTTAAGATTTTTTGATTTTTTAGCTAATTCAATTGGGCTAAATTAGCTTTATTTAGGAAGAATTTTTAATTTTTTTTGGTCGGGGTGTGATGATTGTGAATAAGACTGGGCAAAATACTACATAATCTATTAAAATTACACCGATTGGCATCAATCTGCACAGCTCTATCTGTTAATTTCGGATTGAACTTTAAAATTAATAATCCGCATTTGAAATCGCCCTACGCTGTTATAGTTAATACATATATATTTTTTAACCTCTAATGAAATATCAAAATAAAAATGAGTGTGAGAGATATTTAAAATGTAAAATTTGTTACAAATTAATAATTACATATATAAATAATATTATGTAAAATCAGTGTGTGTCATATATATGAAACATATTATGCAAATTAATATTATATATTATGTAAATATTTGATAATTGATTAAAAATATTCTTTAATCCATCAATCCATCTCAAACCGCATTATGCCAAGCCGCCAAATCGCCATTTGGTTTATAATTTTACTCTCAAATTATCCGAATCGCACCATATATACCCCTAGTTGTGAGAGAAAAAATAAAATAATTATGAATTTTAATGTAACATTTTGTCTTGTTAATTTATTTTAGTAATTTTTTTTTTTTTTGTGCGCTTGTTTAGGCAAAAAAGTTGGTATCAAACGGCAACTAAGATCTGATAAAAAAAAAAAGGGCAAATTACAAACACCCCTTCGAGACTTGGTGAAAATACAGATTTCTCCCTGAGATTTGAAAAATTACAAATTGTCCCCTGAAGATCAAATTTTCATAACAAATTAGGAAAAATTAGGGGAGAATCTGTATGAAAATAAAAATCTCAAGGTGCAATTTGTTATGGAAATATAAGCCTCCGGGGGCGAGATGTAATTTTTCAAACCTCAGGGGAGAATCTGTATTTTCACCAAATCTCGAGAGAGTGTTTGTAATTTGCCCTAAATAAAATTAAAATTAAGATCAATTAATTGTTCCCAAAAAAAAAAAATATATATATATATATATATGTAAGGGTGTTTGGGAATAGATTATTTCAGTTAATTTTAAATTTTTTTACCAAAAGACATCCAAAAAAATTAGGATTAGACATAGGGTTATCCGAACAGCTCAACCTGCCCAACTTGAACCGATCCACATATAAATGGACAGTTTTGCAAACACAATATGGGCGGATGCGATTTGAAATATGACATTATTGCGGATTGCGGGTTTTAACTGCACCCGCAAGAATCCGCCCGCACTTAAACTTTTTTAAAAAAAAAAAAAAAAAACTGGACCGTTAATTTCATTCATCCTATCCTATATATTTTTGCCCAACAAACCAAACCCTAATCATGAATGTGATTTATGATGGAGTTTGTGAGTTTGCAAATATTTTTATTTTATTTAATTGGTTTGAATTGGATAAAGTTTGACAACAATTTATTGTTACTTTATTCTTATATTTTGGATGAATGTAAAAGTTAATGAAGAATTATTTTTAGGTAAGTTTAAGATTTTGAATGATTTTACTTTAATTGTATTGTTAAATAGTGAATAATTTTGATGATTTAGGATTTTAAAAGATGTGCTTGTGTTAGTTTATGATTCTATTTAAAAGTTTATGATTTTGAATGATTTGCTTGTGTTAGGAATTGGTTTTGTTGTGTTTTTAATTTTATAAGTTTTAATTCATTAATTATTAATATTGAGCATTTTAGAAAATGGGAGGAAAATGGTCCAAAATAAATATTTACAAAACAGGAAAAAAAAAAAAGTCAAAAAATAAATTTTTAAAGAAAAAAGTCCAATCCGCAAATTGCCCGCAACCGCTCATACATCTGCGAATCCTATCCGCACAAACTACAACCCACACTGTGGGCGGTTGCAGGTTCAATTTTTTCCAAACCGCACATATGTAGGCTGATCCAAATTACAAATCAAACCGTCTAAAACCGAACTGCGACCATCCCTAAAAAAATAAAAATAAATAAAAAGTGATATAATTGAATATTTTAATTTATTAACCATTTTAGCCCTAATCTAATGTCACGACCCAAACCCGCCCCTATGGGTCTAGCACCGTAACCGGCCAGTAATCCGTGATTACTAAAGGCCTGCTTAACAGTAGGGACAGTAATACAGAGTAAGGGACTGGCAGAAGCCAAAACAGTAAATAAAATGTGTTCAATGAGCTGTGACATTCTGAATGCAAAAAAGACTTTCCTGAACATATTCACATTCAAACTGAAACAGTATATACATACATCATATATAGACATTCAGGTTAGGGACCGAATCCCTAACATAACAGTACAGTGCGAGTCTCAACATTTATTACAGAATAAAGGCAAAAGGGAAAATCTAAAACACCCCAAACCAGCCTTGGCTTGACGCACTCCGAACCTCGAAGTGAGGCACAATGGTTGGTTTTGACAAAACGAGAGCTTAGCCTGACGCTTCTAAAATCGGTCTGGTGCTTGAACACCTACATATATATATAAACAGTGAGCTAAAGCCCAGTGAATAACAGTTGTGTAAAGAGTTAAAAATAAATGTCCTTTCCGTAATTAAACAGTCATATCAGTCATTTAGAAACCATAACAGTTATATGTGGTACATCCAATAACAAAACAGTACAGTAGGTCTTAACAGACTGAACAGTCAGTTGATGACCATCATAACAGTAACAGTAGTGGTTTCAAACTTGGGAACCGACAGAGATCTCTGTGACAGTAGCAGTAACAGTACAGTAACAGTAAGTTGCTAAGGATGCCACGAATACAGTTTACAAATAGGACAAACATTCGTTCATTAAACAATAATGTTTCAGTAAACAGAACAGTTGGTCATTCAGAAAATATTCATAATTGAACATATCTTTACAACATTGTTACTCACAGAGCACTGAGCTATAAGCAGCTAATGAGCGTCCTCGAGTGCCAACCCTACACAGTTACAGAACGAACACACACTAAGTTACACACTTGGGAATCCACAACTTAGTCCCTATCTTGACTCGGTGTGGTTCTACATCAAAATCCTCATTAAGATGCCTTAAACATGGCCTAGGAATGCCTAGGATGGAAAGAGAATGCAAATATGCACTTTAAAACACTTTTCAAAATTTTCAGAAAATAGGGGTCCCGCTCGAGCGTGGCTTTCTATGCTCGAGCGGACATGCCGACATAGGAGCTCCGCTCGAGCGTGAATTCTTTCGCACAATCGAACTGTAAACTCCATGAAAAGTACTGGATGCATGCAATTCACGCTCGACGGACGCTTGACCTCCGCTCGAGCGTGAGACTCAGGTCTTCGCTCGAGCATGAACTCTCTCGCTCGAGCGGACTGTAAAACACAAGAACTTCTGGGTACATGCATTTCACGCTCGAGCATAACTTTACACGCTCGAGCGGAAGTGCACGACTCAGAGGGTACGCTCGAGCGTGAAGTCCTACGCTCGAGCGTGGGTCCAAAATTTGGAATTTTCAGATTCATCCCCAAGCACAAAACTCAAGCATTTAAGCCTCAAACTCGATCCTTTTGGACTAATTTTCTAAAAAAATACTTTAAACCCATAATATAACATGTTTCAAAGATCAATTTGAGAAATCAAAGCCCAATGATGAGTCAATTGAACCATTTTCAAATAAACTTCAAGAACAAAGTTCAAACACAACATGCATGTATTCAATTGAATTAAAAGTTTCAAACACATGGTCAAATAAATCAATCCTTCCAAAAACAATTCTTGAACTATAATCAAAATATGAACATGCATGTAGCAAATTTCATGGAAAAGACCTCAAAACTTAAGAATGTGCACATGCATGCATGAATTAGCTCACAATTCAACATTTCAATTTAATTCTTGACCTTAAGCTCCTAAATTACCATGAACCTTGCAAGATACAACTCAAATTCACAATGAGGAAAGTGAAATCTCTACCTTAGATCTTGAATTCAAGGTATAGAAGCTCAATTTTGCAAATGC